AATCAGTAAAGAAAGATATTTGATAAACAGCCTATCACAAAAATAGTTTTGTCTAGAAAGTAGCCTACCACTATCACCTCCATATAATCATGAAGCAAACGCAATCACTGTTGCCCTTTACACAGAAAGCAGAGAGAAAATGTAGTGAGCACTCAGAGAACCGCTTCAATTCACTTCGTATTTAAAACTAAGGCACCAGCAGGTTGGGAGGCTGAGACAGGAGGATTGCAAGTTCAAAGCCAGCCTCAGCAATAGCGAGACAACTCAGTGAGACCCTGTCTCTAAATAAAATACAAAACAGGGCTAAAAGACAAAATGTGGCTCAGAAGCTGAGTGCCCCCGAGGTCAATCCCTAGTACTCCCCCTCCAAAAAACAACAATAACAAAAAATTAAGGCACCCAGCTACTAAAGAGGATGAGGTAAGAGGATCACAAGTTCCAGGCCAGCCTCTGCAATTTCCCTGAGATTCTGTCTATTTAAAAGGCTGGGACATAGCTCAGCAGTAGAGTATTCTAGTACTGCAAAAAAATTAAATAAATGAAACATAGATCCTGAATGCCTCTACTTAAAACCCTGCAATGGTTCTCTATTAACTTGAAATAAAATCTCAAGTCCTTTAAATGGCCTTTAAGATCTGGACTCCGCTACCTTTGTAGCCACATCTACTATTCACCCTCTAGTTTAATTGAGACAATAGTTTTACTTACTATTCCTCAGATTCAACAAGAAAATTCTCATCTCAGGGACTCTACATTTGATATTCTTACCCCCAATCTTCCCACAGCTCACTTACTTGCTTTCTTGAGGACTTTTCATTCCGGGACCTTTTAGTGAGGGAGGCATCCTACATTAATTTATTAAAATTATAGTTTTTCCAAGTGACCCTGTCATCTCTCTCCTCTGATATTATTATTATTGCTCTTATCACTGTCTAGCATATTATATATTTTGTTTATCTTGGTGATTATATGCTTCCAACTAAAACAAAAAGCACAGAATATAGCTTTAGTTTGTTCACTGTTATGCCCAGAGTTTAGAACAATGACTAGCACATAAAAAACATACTCAATAATTATGTACTGAATAAAATGATATTTACTATTGCATAAATAAGCTGAAGAAAATGCCAATGATGTTATTTTTCGTGCAGTATTAAAACTGTTTATTCCTACTAAAGTATTTTAGTTTTGGGCTTGGAGTATTGCTCAGTGGTGGGGTATATGCTTAATATACAGGAGGTCTAATCCCTAGTACCACAAAAGTTTTAGTTTTATGCACCAATGTAAACTTACATGATCATATAATCAGAATGAACTTTTTGTATAGAGAATTTTTTTTACATCAACATTTCCTCTCAAGTCTCACAACCTATTATAATTACCTTATTTAAAGCATGTCCAACATGAGGATCACCATTTGCATAAGGAGGTCCATCATGAAGACAAAATTCTGTCTTTGTTTTTCTTTCTTTTTGCCATGAATAAAGTTCGGAAAACCCACATTTCTGTTGAAAAAGAACAACAATGTCTAAACATCATATACTATAGAATCTTATCATAAATAACAACCAACACTTGCTCATTTTTTTATCTCATTCCAATCTATTCAACTCTGATTATTAATGAAGTTTCTGAAATGCACAACTGAGTATTCTCTTGAAACTTTTCAAGTTTCTCCCCCATAGACTTCAGACTGAAGTCTAAACTCTTTACATGGTTTCCACACCTTACAAAGGTTTAGTACCACTCAATTCTTGGGCAACCTCTCTGTACTCCCACCCCTTAATCTTCAATCCAGTCCTGCTGAATGCCCTATAGATTCCCCCAGGCACTTCTAACTTATTCTTGCTATTCTTCAGCTTTAACACCTGCCACTTCCTAAATCTGGAATAACACTCATTGCAGTCACACACACCTTCCCTCACTAGCTGTGTGGCAGTGGCCAAGTCTCCTATAGATCTACTCATCTGGAAAAAAAAAAAAATGTTATATATGTTACAAGGCAGGTTTGAAAATTACATGAACAAACAACTGAAACTGTGACACTTCTTAGCATATAGAAGGTACTACTTTTAAAAAACTAGATGGCCAAAACAGGTTTAAGATCTTGAACCCTGGTAACTGTCATTAAGAATATTTAGGCTAAGCATATTAACAGTACTTGCAACTATGGAAGACTTTTTTTTTTTTTTAAACTCTACAATTACAGAAACACTTAGTAAGTTCAGTGCAAAGTAGAAGACAGAGTGTAAAATGGGGTCTCAAAGAAACCTTACCCATCAAAGGAGTTATAATTCCAACTAAGGACCTAAAGATCCGACAAAAGTGGGCTTCAACTTCCCCTCGTTACTTATAAGTTTATTTTTACTTATATGTGTACATGTTAATTCGCTTTTGACAAGTCACTGGAAAAGTGTCCGAAGTTGATTTACTTTCCCGGACTAGATACGGGATGTGCATCCGATACTTGCGGGCATCTGAGCATCACTCGAGTCTCCCTGAATATCTCGCTGCAGAACCTGCCACAACTGAGGGGCCTGTCAAGAGATTTCTTCACTTAGGTGTTCACCAGTAAAACCCGAAGGAAGCAGAAGACTTCCCGGGATCCGGTTTCTGCCGGCCGCCCTCCCGCCGAAGCCTGGTCGGTGTGATGGGCCCAAGAGCGCCGGTTTTCCTCCGCCCCGCCCCGCTGGCCTCCGGGTGCATGCCCCGCGCCCACGAGGGGCCTGTACCTGCTGGATCTCCAGCTCCATGTCCGGCTGCTGGCGGCCCAGCAGCTTCATGGGGAAGTTGGTCTGAGGCAGCAGAACTGTGTCGCGGTACTTGCCGCTATTCGGGTTGGTCAGCTGGTTACTGGCCCCGGTGACAGACCGCACTAGAAGCCTCCTTGTCGCCCCTAGCCACCCTAGGCGACAGGGAAGGCGGGGCGGTCCCCAGAAGCTCCGGGCCGAGGCCAGAGCCGTAGCCCCCGGCCCTCTAGGGCGCAGTCCCCAACGCATGGCGGAGCAACCCAGGACGCCCCTTAAGTGCGAGGTCCAGGGTTCCAGCCCAGGCTGGAAGAAGTAAGGACCCCCAAGAATCTGGGCGGGAGTGCGCACGCGCCCGGCAGCACGGAAGGTGCGTAGTCCCGGAATCGGAGAGGATTGAACCACTCCGGGTCTTCGCTGCAACCGTCGGGGCGGAGCCGTATCCTAGGGGGCGGGGGAAAAGTGTCTAAGCCCTCGGGTTTTTTTCAATCACAGAGCCTTGATTTTAAAAATATGTACGTTTATATCGTGGCACACTCCTGTAATCCCAGCGGCTGGGGAAGCTCAGGAACTCAAAGCCAGCCTCAGCAATGGCGAAGCCTAAGCAACTCAGTGAGATCCTGTCTGTAAATAAAATACAAATTAAGGCATAGGGCTGCGGGTGTGGCTCTGTGGTTGAGTGCCCCTGAGTTAAATCCCCGGTACCCAACCCCCGCCGCAAAAAAAAAGTATATTTAATACGATATATTTATGCTGTTGCTTTAATATATAATCAACAAAAGTTATTGACAGGTTAATTTCTATTTATTCCAAGCCTTAGAAATTTGGTATCTTATACACAACAGCACATCTTCATTTGACTTAATCACTGGTAAAGGCCTCAATAGACACACAGTGGCATCAACTCCATTATGGGCAACACTGCTTTAGGGAGTACACAGGTCCATATAAATATTATCAACAACACTTCAACAAATTGAGGGTCGTGTGTCCCCACCCACCCACCCACTCCAGCCATGTTGAGGATCAAATCCAGGGCCTCACACATATTAGGCAAGCACTCTACCACTGAACCACATCCCCAACCATTATAAATTGAGTTTTAAAGATCTAATTGAAGTGGCTAGAGGTGGAACTCAATGATAGAGCAGATGTTTAACATGCATGAGGCCCTGGGTTCAATCCCCAGCTTGAAAGAATAAAAGAAAAAAAGTTATAATTGACTTTTACTAGGGACTCTTGGACCACATTGGCCATTTCAGTTACTTACACTACAGGAGTGTGAATGAAGTCTCCTTGGCTTAGTGTGATTTGGCTATCAGCTCTCTCCTAGTTTTTTGTAAGGTAACTTTCCATGATCATACAACAAAGAAGTAGCAGAGATGGAATTCAAGCCCAGTCATCTAGGCTCCAGGGCACTCTATCTTTGACCTGCAGTTCCTATCTGGGATCTATTTTATAGCTATAATCTCAAAGAAGCACAAAGATGTATACACATAGAAACTCCTAATTAGCCTCTGCTTTAACAACTTGCTTAATTTAACTATGCTGTTGCCTTGCAAAACCTGTTAAGAGGATGCAACCAACACTTGGAAGATAGCTGTTCTCTAGGATGCCTGCAGACTTCTCTTACCACTTATTATATGCTTAGAGTAGGTTGTGTTTGTCCTTATTCATGCCACTTGTATTCGTGCAATTACAATTTTTTTTTTCAAGGTACCAGGGATTGAATCTAGTGTGTCTCCTCCATTCTAGACAAGCACTCTACTATTGAGCTATATCCCCAGCCTCTCTGGTGAGTGTTTTAAAAACAGAGATTACTGTTTGTTTCTATTTACAAAAGCTTGAGAGTTACAGAAGAGCACACAGGAACAAAATTTTAAAATTACTCATTACCACTCTCACAAAATAATTCAATGAATTTTTAGGTAAAATATTGTTTAAATGAAAACTAAGCTGAGAGCTCTGAAGAGTCTAATAAAGGCAAGTCATTAAAAACCTGAACCCAAACAAACTGCTATTAATTTGGTTAGAGCCAAACTGTACCACGTGTGCTGGAAGCCACCTGAAACCAGAAACTACCCTAAAAAGTAGATGCAGCTTTCGCTTTTTTATCAGGAGCTTTTGCACCACGGAGACTTTGCATAAAACACGGATAAGTGGAGTTTTCTGACGGGTCAGGAGCCCGAAGCAGCAATTGGGAAGTGCCTGTTCTGCGCTTGCGCCGAATTTCCCGCATGCTCAGTCGCTGAGGTAGGTTTGCCCTCTGTCCCAGCACGACCTATTGGCTGCACGGAAACGCGGTACTGGACATACCGAGGGACCTGTGGTTTGGTAACCCAGTTAGGTTACCCCTAGAGCGTCTTTTGTCCGCTGTCCTTGCAAATTTGACAAAGTAAGTGCTCTCCCCGTCCCTGTCACGTGAGAGAAGGGCCTTTAGCAAATCTTGACTCTTAACTCTACCCCTTTGCACAGATAAGAGGAGATTCAAGGAATTTATGTTTAAAAAGAAAAGAAAGTATATGTGAATCAGATTGCTTTTCCGGATATTCCATTTCTGGACCTAGAATCTTGAGTGTCAACATTTTCGTGCTCCAGGATATTTTTATCGCTCTGTATTGTAGAAACAAGGCAACCTAGACTTTGAGCTCCTTAAGTGCACCCAAATTTAGAAATTCTTACATGTAACACTAAATTTCATTTTAACAGCCAATACTCTTTCAGTTGCCATTTCTACATATTTATAGGCCTTCATGATATATTTGGATTTTCCTGGAAATATAATTTCTGGTTCATAAGATGTGTACATGTTACTTTTATTGAGGTTCTCAAAGCCCTCCTAAGAGTTTTCATGGCTTTTCATTCTAACCAAGGATGCTCTGGAACATGTTCCTCACATTCTTGAAAACTGGACAAAATTTTTCTTACCTCTTATAATTTTTAAAATAAGCGATTATTTCTCATTGTTTTACTTGTGTGGTTTAGGACAGCTCCAAAAGACAGTATTTTGATTGGGAACACATCTGTCATTTTTAGATCCTAATCTTCATATGGTCACTATCTTTATGTTGAATTATTAAAGATGCCTCTTCCAGGCTATGAGAAGAAACTGGTCATTTGATTCCTGTTATTTTTTCATCTTTCTGAGCTAGCTCTGTTGGCAACTGTAAGGATTTCTTAAATGGATGAGGGTTAGGTTGATTGCCTTACGTGTTGTAAAACCTTTTTTCATATTTACTCTAAGCCTAAAATATTATTTAAAGAAAGAACCTTTTGTAATGAACTAGTAAAAAATATGGGAAAAGAACCTGTGCTATGATTCAGGGTCATATTGGGTATCATATTACATCCTTAAGGTCAAAATACTATTGCAGAAGCTGTAGGAACTTTTTACCCTCAACACTGTCCCATGTTTGTGGTGGATAGCCAAAAATAAGGACAAAAGATTTTAATGATGGCTAGACATTATTATTTGATGCTCACCTACAGGGACAAGTCCTTTGTATATGTAACTCACTTAATAATTACAGCCACTCTGTACTATAGGTACTATTGTTATGTACACTTACAAGTTTGGGCACAGAAAATTTAAGTGGTGTTCCCAAGGTCACACACTTAGTGTGTGCCAGAGCTAGGATGTGAACACAGGTAGTTGGGACCAGATTCTGTGCCCTTAACCACTATTTTTAACTAAGCTTTTAGAAAAAGATATGCTCATGGAAGGTAATGTTTTAGGACCCAGAAGATATAAAACTGATAGAAAAAGAAGTACAGTTGTTAATTTGAACTTTAAGAAATTTAACTTGGGGCTGGGGTTTTAGCTCAGTGGTAGAGCGCTCGCCTAGCAGGTGCGAGACCCTGGGTTCGATCCTCTGCACCACATAAAAATAAATAAAATAAAGGTATTGTGTCCAACTACAACTAAAAAATAAAATATTTTTTTAAAAAAGAAAGTTAACTTGCCTCTGACTACTTTTAGTCTTGCTCTTAATTCACGGGTAACATCAAAAGGTAATTCTAATTTGGGATCTGGTTTAGGGCACAATTTAAAAAGGCTAATAGGAACCTCTTTTACAGAGTTTGTGCTTTGGTAATACTACATTTATTTTTTAAAACAAGAACCAATATTGTATCCATTTATTTTAAAAATATGAGAAAATTTTTAGGTTGGGGGATAGTAATATTTCATTCCTAATTCCTTTTGGACCAGAAGTGGAGTACTTCAGAGAAAAAAAGGAAGAAATATTTCCTTTTTTGTCAATAAAAGTGATTTGTGGAAACTGTTTATAAGTAAGTTTTATTTTTTTATATCAAACCGTATGTTTTCCATGTTAGCTTTAAATGATGGTTCGTAAGTATAGTGTACATTTTGTGAGGAAGGTAGTAGACACCTAAGCCTGAAAGTTTTTCTTTGGAAGAAGAAAACGAAGTGTACTTGGCAAACAGAAGGGAAAGTGCTTTAGTCACACCCAAAGCCTGACAAGGCTCAAATGATTGCTTAACTGGCTCAAAGGTAAGTGATATTTGTGAAAAGTTATAATGCTACCAGATAGTAAGGAAAAATGACCTTCCAATCACAAAGGAAGTCTTTCATAACATGGGAACTGAATAAGATACGGACATGTTAAAATATACTCAATGGTTAAGACATCTAGATAGAATTAATTAATTGCCTGAAGACTACTTTTCCAGCACAGAATAAATCAGCTATATGGCTGGCCATTGATATAAAGGAGCAAAAGTAAGGCCAATGAAATGTTTATTAAATTATTTCTCATGTTTTCTGTTTGTGGTGCTCCTGAATTGGTAATGATCGTAGCTAGTTTGTTCCATGTATAATATATAGTATGTGAAGAAAATTAATCTAGCCTGATTATGATATAATAAGGTAAACAGAATTCATATATTCCACAGAAACCCATTTTATTTTCATCTTAATTCTAGACAGCTATTGGTCACAATATGATATTCATTACCATAAATCAATTTCAATTCCATCTTTTCACTTGTATATTATCTTAATTATCTTAATAATTCTCATAAATAGAATGAGAGTGATAGAAAAAGATGTAAAGGGGTTAAAAGGCACATCAAAATAAGTATTCAGTCAGAAATTTGTAACAGCACAATGACTTGCTGAATCAAGGTTTGTACTATTTTTTATATATAGTTCCTGTATGCAGAGAATAATAATATGTGGCCTTATTGCAATGAAATATTGTTGATCCAGTTTGATTTAGAAATTACAGAGTTTTTGTTCCTTTGTTTCTTTGTTTGTTGCAGTGCTGGATATCAAAACCATGGTCGTGGGTGTGCTAGGCACGTGCTCTTCCATTGAGCTACATATCCAGCCTGAAAGTTTTTATCTTAGTTTTGTTCTCCATGAACACTCTGAGACAGTGATAGAGGTTTATTAGGGAGTATTCTTTTGATCCCAAGAGGAAGGGGAAGGAAGTAGGAGGGGGCATGTTGAGCTGGATGCAGTCTCAACTGTGAACTCAGTAGTCCTCCCTGGGTACTCAAAAGTTGGGATGACCCTTCAGATTTGGGGTGGCAGCCAGTTGGGTGGGCAGTGGCCTTTAAACCCTCCTGTTGACAAGCTTCAGATGAAGTGACTTTTCTTAGCAGATAAATTCCCAAAGAAAGATGACAGCTAGGGACCATCATCTTAGCAGTTGGGGAAGTAAGCCCTTTGGTTTGAAGGGAATCTAGGTGGTATATCCCAGCATCCAGAGCAGTCACTAAAATTCCAGGATTTGAATTTGTGTTTTCAAAAAGGAATATACTTAATCCTACAAGTTGGGGATTTGCTTGCTTGTTTGTTTCCATTTATCTGAGCTAGGGACTTACCTGACACTCATAATTTTTTTTCAGATGATTATCTTCACTCGAGTTATGATGATTTTTCTCTTTGTTTGGCTACTGTTGAGGACGGGGTAAACAAAACAGGTTAAATTTCACTCAGTCTCTAAAAGAATATTCGTTGAATTTCAGAAAATAATTGTAATAATGTGTAATCCCTAACCTGTTTGTGTGTGATGTTAGGGATCAAATTCAGGGCCTTGCACAGTTGCATGAACATGTTGTTCAATGGCAGGAGCCCTACCACTGAGCAACATTCCCAGCCCCCTTCTTCTTTTTAATTACCCCATATATACACTTTAATCCCTTAATCTATTGAAGCCAGTTTGGGTTTAGACATTAGGTTATATTATATCCTGCATAACTCACCAAAATATTAACCCATTAAAGGCAGATGTTACATCTTATACTTTTAGCCCCTGAAACATCTTCCATAGCCTTTGCACATTATATATCTCACACACAAAACTTTTTCACATGCTGAGCCTTTTGGGCCAGTTTTTCATCATAATATGCTTTGAAATGTCCCATCTGCAGAGAGAAAAAAAAAATGCTATAGGAAAGAGTTAATGCTGAAATTGAGGTTTTTCCATCTCGTTCTTTTTTTTTTTTTTTCTTTTTGGTACCAGGGATTGAACTCAGGGGCACTCAACCACTGAACCACATCCCTAGCTCTATTTTGTATTTTATTTAGACAGATCTCACTGAGTTGCTTAGCACCTTGCTTTTGCTGAGGCTGGCTTTGAACTCATAATCCTCCTGTCTCAGCCACCCAAACTGCTGGGATTACAGGTATGCACCATCACGCCCTGCCCAAGTCTCTTTAGGTACATATTTATTAAAGAACCTACTCAGTTAAAGTAAGCAATTAATAAATATGCATCTAATTGAATTCAAGTATGTAAAACCAATATTTGGCTTTTAAAGTAACAAAGCATTTTTCTTGATTTCCTTTTAGGGAGCATCATGGCTTCGAGTCACACTGTGTTGATGCGGTTGGTAGCTTCAGCGTATTCTATTGCTCAGAAGGCAGGAACTATAGTTAGACGTGTTATTGCTGAAGGAGACCTAGGTATCGTGGAAAAGGTATTGCAAGTCTTATTTCATAGTAGCCTGTATTTGCTCTTTGAGATTTAGCTAAAGAATTTGGACAAACTTTCACAGCTAAAATAATTGATGGTTCCCTTGTGGAAATTCCAATATCCTTAGCTCAGATGGTCCACGTATCTGCTTTGAAAATGACTCCAGACTTCACCCAAGATCTTTATTTATGTGACTGGGTCTTTTGACCAATGTCCAGCCCTAGGACAAATCCTAATCTGTTACATGCAGAACAATGCAATCTTTAGGAAACTTGATGTGTTTAATAAAATCTGGCATTTAAATAATTGTTCCTTATACTAAAAGCAATACATTTTTCCTTATGGAAAAGACTCAAAACAAGGTTTGTTGCTAGGCTAAGGTATTGGGATTACAGATTACATGTCTGTAATCCCAATACCTTAGGAACCTAAGGGAGGAGGATCACAAGTTCAAGGCCAGCCTGGCAACTTAGTGAGACTCTATCTTAAAATAAAGGGTGACTGGGAACGTAGCTCAGAGGTAGAGGACCCCTGGATTCAATCTCCAGTACCAAAAAAATATGAAAGAAAGAAACCAAAGCTTTTCTTTTTACTAGATAATTTTAAACTTAGAGAAATTATCAGAAATTTTATAGTAATATTTGATTTGTAAAGGAAATACTACCATGTATGAGTTTCAGTTTGAAATATGCCACAAGATTTAATTATTAGTTCACATTACGTATCTTAAATATAACTTTCTGTATGCTGTCTTTTCTCTTTAAATGTTTAGCGTCATCTTTAAGGAAGATTGTGTTATAATTGAAAAAAATCAAAGAATGTAATTTGCCAAAAAAAAAAAAAAAAAAGAACGTAATTTTCCATTAGTATTTTAAAAGCTGGATGTGGTGGAACATGCCTGTAGTTCCAGCTACTTGGGAGGCTAAGGCAGGAGAATTGCTGTAGCCCACAAATTTTAGACTAGTCTGGGCAACATAGAAAGACCCCCATCCCGAAACAACAATGCTTTAATAGAATCATAGAAATAAGTTATAATTAAGATACTCATTTAGGATAAGTCAGGCATCTATGTATAGCTGATATTATTTTAAAAACAATAACAACAAATGAGGGACTGGGGGTGTATCTCAATAGCAGAGTGTTTACCTAGCATGTGCAAGGCCCTGGGTTCTATTCCTTGCACTGAAGAGAGAGGCATATGTATGAATAAAAAGCAATTTAAAGGGCAGGGGCTGTAGCTCAGTGGTAAGAGTTTGCCCAGCATGTATGAGGCACTGGGTTCAATCCTCAGCACCACATAAAAATAAAATAAAGGCATGCTGTCCATCTACAACTAAAAAAAATTTAAAAAAGAAAAGCAACTTAGAAATAAGTTGAAATATGGCCAGGAACAATGCCACACACCTACAGTCCCATTTACTGGGGAAGCTGAAACAGAAGAATGCAAGTTTGAGGCCAGCCTTGGCAATTTAGCAAGACCCTGTCTCAAAATAAAAAACAAAAAAGTCTAGGGATGTAGTTCAGAGGTAGAATATTCCTGGTTTCAATCCCCAGTATAGCAAAAAAGAAAAAAAAAAGTTTAGAAATTATAAACTGGGGGTGTAGTACCTTGGCACTGTTCATACTTAGCAACTATGAGACCCTAGGTTCAATACCCAGCACCTGAAAAAAAAAATCAATAAGTGAAATAAGTCCATTTCCTTTTTTGATATAATTATGGACCGGATCATACAGACCCAAATATAGGGTATCGTGATTTCTGGGAAATATTTGTTACAGGTTCCATTGTCTATTTTAGAAGATTCAAGTTATTAATAATAGATGATGTCTCCCATTCCCCATCATAAATCACCATTAGATATATTCATAAATAGGCAAATAACATTACCCTACAATTTTAATTCTTGATTCATTTTCAGCCTGGAAAAGTATCCTTGCTGGCAGGATGCAGGATTGCTCCTGACACTGTCCCATTCTCTTTAATCACTCAATTACAGTTTACTGGGAATTGAATCCAGGGACACTTTACCACTGAGCTACCTTCCCAGTTCTTTTTAGTTAGAGATAGGGTCTCTCTAAGTAGCACATGCTGGCTTCAGAGTTGTAATCCCCTGCCTCAGCTTCCCAAGTCCCTGGAATTACAAGTGTATGCCACTGTGCCCAGCCAGTAAAATTTTATTGAATGTATCTTCTCAAAACTCTGGAAGAGGCCACTATAGAAAACACGCTTACCAAATTTGTCAATAAAATGACACTGGAAGGGCTGGTTGATGTATCGGATCCCATGATAAATATTCAAAGTAGTTGTGACCTCTGAGAAAAGAGGGCCAAATCCAATAACATATTGTAACAGCAATAATTATAAAATCTTATATTTATGTTGAAGTAATATGGGGTAAATCTGATTCAAATTTGTTTGGAAAAAAGGTTTTTGTTGTCCACATACAATGTACACAGCTGCATTCAGAAGGCTTCTCATCTTACTGTTTTCATTTGTGGGTTTTTTTTTTTTTTTTTCTATTAAAGATAGGAAATTGAGAAAAATACCACGCAATAAAGAGACCATCCATCATATTACCATTGCCAATATTCTGGTTCATTTCCTTCTAGATTATCATTTATTTTGTTTCCTTCCTCAGCATCATTTATTTTGTTTAAATTGGTTTTATGTTGTACAACTTTGTATCCTGAAGCTAAGGAATACTAGAAGTACAGTGTCCAAGTTTGGAAAAAAAAAAAAAATCTCATTATCCTCAATACTGGTCATTTCTAATACTTTATGTTCACTTGTTTGACACCTTATTTTAAGAGAAACAAAGGTGAAATCAGGCACAAGGTGTTCACAATGATGAGGTACAGCATTATGTTGATAGACCAGGAAATATTTATCTTAGAGAAGAAAATAATTGGGATATATTTTCTCAGATAATTGAATGCAGGGCTGTCAGTGTGTCTCCTTTCTCTCTCTCTGTCTCTCCCTCCCCCCACTCACTCTCTCCAGCAGTGGTCTCCAGACTCAGTCGATACATAATTAATCTCCAAACTCAACAATTCATTTAAGTAGTTTCATTTATAAAGTACCTACTGTTGCCCAGCATAGTTCTTTAGAGAATGAAACCCCTTTGTGGGTTCATATTCTAGTAGAATAATACTTTGCATTGAGATAACCAGCAAATCTCAGTGTGTCATAAAAGTCATATTCACCATCACTTGTTAGGTCATTGCAAAGAAGTTTAAAGATTCTGTTCAAGATGATCAGTAAATCTGTCTAACCAGTGTTATATAAATTAGAGCATGCCATAATTCACCAAAAGCAAACTAACAAAGGAGATTGTGGAGTCAATTGAAAAATTTTCCACTGCCTTTCACTAGTATAACTTTCTGACCTATGGATTGAGTAAGGTACCATAGGTAGGCCATATATTAAATACTACTAGAGTTCATTTTAGATTTTAGAAATAAGAAAGAATTGTGTACATTAGTAAATCTGAGGGGCAGTCATTGAAAAAAATCCCTGTAAGGAACACCTTCCCAGTATTAAAATATATAGTATTTAACTTGACTTTGAAATGTCATAAGTTTCCTATCTTTTTTTTTTATATTTTTTGTTGTAGCTTGACATAGGACCTCTATTTTGTTTATTTAGTTTTTTATGTGGTGCTGGGGAACAAACCCAGTGTCTCATGCATGCTAGGCAAGTGCTTTACCACTGAGCCATAACTCCAGCACTAAGTTTCCTGTTTTTAATCTGTTTAAGACAAAGCTTGATATCTAGAGATCTGTCCACTCACCACCACCCCAAGTACTTAAACCCAGGAGTGTACCACTGAGCTACATTCTCAGACCCTTTTTAGTTTTTGAGACAGGTATTATCAAATTGCCTAAGCTGGCCTCAAACTTGCAATCCTCCTGCCTCAGCCTCTCTAAACATAGAGATTATAAGCATGCAATATCATGTCTGGCCATCTAGAGATCTTATAAAAGAAATTTCTGAATTTTCAAAATAATTTAAAAATACCATTTCAAACTTTACATACTATTGGGCTGGAGATGTAACCCAGAAGTACAGCGCATGGGTAGCATGTCTGAGGCTCCAGGTTTGTTCCCTAGCACTGAAAAAAATTCACTTCCATAGTTTACCACTATTAATCCTATGAGAAACAATAAGCCAAGAAACTAGTTGATTCATTTGGTGTTAAGTTCTGCATTTCTAAAAATTGACAGTACACTATACATTACAAAGACATGCATTTAGGAATTAGAGGACAATTTATTTTACATTAGTTCTGCTAAAGTTTGCATTCTTTGTTACAGACCTCTGCAACAGACCTGCAGACCAAAGCTGACCGATTAGTACAGATGAGCATATGTTCTTCACTGGCACGGAAATTCCCCAAACTGACAATTATAGGGGAAGAGGTAAGAGTTGTCAGGGACATGGTATATTTTTAATCTGTGTTTACCATATGGATTTGTAAATGACACTTCAGTGGTTTATATATCACTATTCGAATTTAAACATTGTTTCTAGTGCTTTAACACAGAAGTAATTATTCTGTCCTTTGGAAGGAGGATCTGATCTTAAAACATTTTGATTGCTGGGTGCAGTGTCGTATGCCTATAATCCCAGCAACTCAGGAGGCTGAGGCAGGAGGATTGCAAGTTTGAGGCCAGCCTCATCAAGCAAGCAAGGCCTTTAGCAACTTAATGAGATACTGTCTCAAAATAAAATATAAATACAAAGGGTTGGGGATGTAGCTCAGTAGTAAAGCACATCTAGGTTCAATCCTCAGTACCACAGAAAAACATTTGGTCCGTATTTAGGCCAGGTATTTCAATTCTTAGTTATAGAAGATATGGTTACTGTTAAAAAAACTCAGCATATAAACTAAAGATGGGTATATCTCAGTGGTATAGTATTTGCCTAGAATGTTTGAAGCCCTGAGTTCAGTCCCAAAGATAAAAAAGATGAGCAAAGTTCTAGAACTTAGAAATACGATGGGTTTTGTTTTTTTAAAATTAGGCCTCCTTCCACACTTATCCAAAGACCATAACACTTTGAAAGTGAAAGAATTGAAATCTCTTATAATTAAGAAAGAATACATTTTTTAAAAAATAAATAAGTCTGTTAAAATATCTTCTCTTTTTAAACCCTATTCAGGATAATGAACTTGAGACCATTTAGTTGACTTTGAGAAACATGTTTTCTATTAAATTTGATTTTTTTTTCAGTGCTAAGGATTGAGCCTAGGACCTTAAGCATTCTAGGTGAGCTACATCTCTAGCACCATGGGTTTGCTTTAAAAGATCTAAATATGGGCTGGGGATGTGGCTCAAGCGGTAGCGTGCTTGCCTGGCATGCGTGCGGCCCGGGTTCGATCCTCAGCATCACATACAAACAAAGATGTTGTGTCCGTCAAATACTAAAAAATAAATATTAAAATTTTCTCTCTCTCACTCTCTCTTAAAAAAAAAAAGATCTAAATATAATGGTAAACAGAAAGACTAATAAAAATTGTGACGCTGCCTTTCTTTTGTTACTGAGAGTGAACATTAAACAGCTTCAGTAACTGTTAATGTTATCTCTGCTGCAGGATCTCCCTCCTGAAGAAGTGGATCAAGAGCTGATTGAAGATGGTCAGTGGGAGGAAATATTGAAGCAACCATGCCCATCACAGTACAGTGCTATTAAAGAGGAAGACGTAAGGCCATCTCAATACTTTATACACTCTATTAGTGTTTCTTGCCATGGTAAAGGAAATAAAATTTGCATGTAAGATGAAAATTTAGTAGTTATAAAATAGGAATAAGAAGGAACTTGAAATCTTTCAGAGCCAAAGTAGAAGTTATCAGGCAATCATATGAAATATCTGACCTTTTAAATTTCTTTTTCTATGTCTCCTTTTTACTCTGAAACAGAGTATTATGTTTGCCTAGGGTGGTCTCAAACTCACAATCCTCCTGCCTCCTGAGTTGCTGGCATTACAGGTGCACACCACCATGCTTGGTTTGAGATAATGATTAAAAATACTTTCAGGGGCTGGAGTTGTGGCTCAGTGGTAGAGTGCTTGCCTAGCATGTGTGAGGCACTGGGTTCAATCCTTAGCACCACATAAAAATATAAACAAATAAAATAAAGTTAAAAAAAAAATACTTTCAGGCTGGGTGTGGTGACGTACATGTAATCCCAGCAATTTAGGAAGCTGAGGCGGGAGGATTGAATTTCAAGGCCACCTGAGCAAGTTAGCAAGACCCAATTTCAAAACAAAAAACAGAAAGGGCCTGGGATATAGTTCAGTGATAGAGCACTTGCCTGGCATGCATGAGCTCCGTATTTAATACCCAATATTACAGAAATAAATAAATAAATAACAGAAAAAATCTTACTTGTTGTTTATTAAATTTGGTAGCAAAACATTTCACTGGTTATTGGTGCTGGAAGAAGACGAAACAATTACTACCTTATGTTATAAGGCCATAAAAATCATCTTACTTTCTTTTTTTTTTTTAATTTTTTTTTTTAGTTGTAGATGGACACAATACCTTCGTTTAACTTATTTATTTTTATGTGGTGCTGAGGATCAAACCCAGTGCCTCACAGGTGCCAGGCAAGTGCTTCACCACTGAGCTACAACCCTAGCCCCTCATCTTTCTTTTTATAGTTGTTTGAATTAAATTAATCTGTGACCTCAGATTTAAACACACTTCTTTAGTTTTCTAATTTTAAATCATTTTAAACATGTTTATTAAATACCTAGGTAAGGCATTTTGCTTTGGGCTGTGGAAGATACAAAGAAAATGAAACATGGTGTCTTCCATCAGAAACATGCCATCTCAAGCCAGGTGTGGTGGCACACACCTGCAATCCCAACAGCTTGGGAGGCTGAGGCAGGAGGATCACAAGCTCAAAGCCAGTCTCAGCAAAGTGAGGCCCTAGGCAAATTAGTGAGATCCTGTCTCAAAAAATAAAAAAGGGCTGGGAATGTAACTCAGTGGGTAAGTGACTGACAGTAGGTTCAATCCCAGCACCAAAGAAAGAAAGAAACATGCTGCCTATTACAAATTCACATCAAGTGTTAGAATTCTAGTAGTAAATGGCAGCATATCCTAAATGATGAAAATCATAAACATAAAGACTTTGTTTATCTTATTGCCAGCTCTATGAACTATTTATTTTTCTTTGGCCTATGTGAATGTGTCCTTAAAGTAATCAGACTGTCTTTAAAAAATAATCAGCATTTATTTATAAAAATGAGTAGCAGTGATAGAGTGTTTGCCTGGGTTCTATCCCCAGCATGGGATGTGGGGGTGTTAAAAATAGGGCAGAGCGAAATGCTCAAGGGTAGAGTGAGGCTCTGGGTTCAGTCCCTAGCACTGTAATCCCAGCAGTTTGGGATTACTGGGAGAAAAAATAAGAAAAAAAAAATGGTTTGGGGATATAACTCAGTTGGTAGAGTGCTTGCCTAGCATGCATAAGACCCTGGGTTCAACCCCCAACACCACAAAAAAAAAAAAAAAGAAGAAGAAGAAAATTAAAAAACTGAATAGCACCCATACATTGTTCAAAACATTTTTGGTGCCACTTGAATGTTTTTACTGTACCACCTGTCAGTGTTCATGGCATTGTTCAAGTGACAGTAATTTTGCAGTTAATTATTTCGTATTATAGATTCTTGAATCAGACTTTTCTCCAGTTTAAATGGACTTCTTCCATGATTCCAAAATCTTTTTTTTTTTTTTTTTTGGTGGTACCGCGTATTGAACTCATGGGCGCTTAACTACTGAGCCACATCCCCAACCCTATTTTTTATGTTATTTAGAGACAGGGTCTCACTGAGTTGCTTTGCGCCTCACAGTTGCTGAGGCTGGCTTTGAACTCGTGATTCTCCTGTCTCAACCTCCCAAGCAGCTGGGATTACAGGTGTGTGCCACCGCACCCGGCATCATTCCAAAATCTTTACTAGATTTTTTTCCCCCACTATCCTAACACTGATATTGGCTTAAGCTTTCCCTAATATAATTTCAAAAATGTAAAATGAGTAGTTTCAATCTTTTTTTGGAATTTTGTATACTTCATTTATATGTATTTTTTCCTTTTTTTTTTAAGCTTGTGGTTTGGGTTGATCCTTTGGATGGTACCAAAGAATATACTGAAGGTTGGTATTTTCTTTCTGTATTTCACAGCAGTAAGACTAGGATATAATATTTAGTTGTAAACATTTGATATTTTGTATTACATAAAAAACTGCTCATGGTAGCTAATTTTTATCACACATCAATGATTATTAAGACAAAAGAAGGGTTGGGATCAGTTCTAGTATGCATGAGACCCTCAGTTCTATTCATCTCCAATGCCAGAGAGAGAGAGAGAGAGAGAAATTCATCTCCTTCAAATGCTATTGCCCATTTTCTACCAGCCCCACAAGCCTGAATGTCTCCCAGATGAGAATATCTATCATATTAGATCAGTGTTACCAAAGGAACTACAATGAACTCCCAGCTTTATTGGGGTAGAAAATGATGACAAATTCAGCTCTGCTGTCCTTGTTCTACTACCACCACTATCCCATGTACATCTTGTTCATGCTCCCTTCTTCTGAAGGTTTCAAAGATGAGAAAAATTAGAAAGCAGCAAACTGAAAATAAAATTGGCAACATAAAAGTAAAAAGGACTGGGCTTAGAGCCAGAGTTGTAGGCTTTAGCAGATTAGAGTTTTATTTTTGAAGTAGAGCTTTACATAGCTTTTCTTACATTGGTTCTCAGCTTATGGCTTAAAAAAAGAAAAATTTTCTTGATTACTAGGAAAAAAACCTTCATTCTTGGATGAGACATGTCTGTGATGAATGAATCAAGCAGTGTTTTTGTACTAAAACATCTCTATAATCCTTTGAGAAATAAGGAAGCACTATACAGCTTTAATGTATATAAGAGAATGTAGAAAGTTATTTAAGTCTTGACTCCCACCTCCCAAATTTTGATTCACTCAATACCTCTGGGAAAAGGCTTCAGAATTGTATTGTAAAAATTATATCAGTTAATTATAGAACTGCTTGATAGTCTGTGGACCCCCTCTTTAGGAAACCTTGCTTTAGAGGTTTGAAATGAAAGTCTAGAGAATAATTTAGGAGTACACGTGATTCATCAGGTAAGAATGAGTTGAATAATGGTGGAAGAAGGATAGAGGAATCTAATGATAATGGCTGTGGAGTTGTGGCTGCTTCATTTAATTGTTTTACAAATTGTACTAATGAGACATAGTTATCAATTCAGTTAAACGTCCATAGACCCTATTTCCATCACTGGCCAGCTGTCTTATAATTAGTGCATTTTGCCATAAATAGGATTGATAATGGAAGTCATTGCATATTCCTTATCTTTACTGAAAAATAACTTGCAGCAATTGATGTACTGATGATGAGTCATAACATGAGAAAGATATGACTGATACTTCTTTTTCATAGGTCTTCTTGACAATGTAACGGTTCTTATTGGAATTGCCTATGAAGGAAAAGCCATAGCAGGCATTATTAACCAACCATATTACAACTACCAGGTATAACTATAAGTGATACAGAAATATTGTATTACATAAATAGAGAGTTATGATTCCAGATGTCATTTAATCCAGTGGTTTCTAGCTTAGTTGCATAGGCAGTCATCTGGGGAACTTTTTAAAGTACAGATTTCCCAGGTAATACCCTAAACTCTGGGGGCATTGGTACCAGGAGTGTATAAATATGTATATATGTATACATAGACATACTATATGCATTATATTCTTTATGTACTTATGATTCAAGTGCAGAAGTTTGAGAATTACTGATATGGTTCTTGATTATTGTGGTCATCAAGACACTTTACTTACAGGTCTCTTGAAGCCTATTAAAGAAATGAAGCATTTCAACCTAGAAAAGATGCTAGCCACATTGCTTTCTAAGTAATATGTGCTTTTTAGGCACAGTGCCTAAATTACAGCCAACATTGACAATAACTGAATGTGCTCTTGCACTCTTTTTCTCTTATTTCATCTCTTCTAATCTGCTTTGACATTCTGGTATACTCCAAAGAAATTGTCTTCCTTAGAAACAAGAAACTAGTTTAATTTCAAAGCAAAAATTTATCATTAAATCACTGTACATTTTAAAGGAAATTATTGAAATAAAATAAGGTATGAAATGTGACCTTGATAGAACTTTGAGGAAACAAAGTAACCAGACTGGGTACTATTACTTCTGAATTTCTGATTTAAGAGCAGGATTAATCTTTACTTCTAATATGAATTTGTTTTTTCCTGCTATTTGTATAAATTTGATTTATAATCATGCATTTCTTAAAACATACCAAAATAATTAAAGCCTCTCACTGAATTGCTTATGTGTCCATTAATTTCTTATAATATGGCTTTAATATTTATACAGTATTATATGCAGATATGGCTTGTTATTTTTATATAAACTTTAAGTCAATACTGTTACTTAAAAGAGGGGCCTTTAAGTCATAGAAAACCTTATCGTGCATGGAATCTTTCATCAAAAATAAAGAGCTAAATGCTTAGGAATTATTAACAATTTTTAATCCCTTCTTTCTGAGATTCGAAAAATTGTATTCATTTTCCACAGAACAATGAAAAGCAGAAGTTAAGGGAACACAGGAATGAAGCAAAGGTGAGAAAAATAGTTAGGGTTTTGGTTTCACTAGAAGGTAGAAAAGAGATAGGCACTCTGGTCCCGTAGGTAGTTATTGTATATCCCATGTACCAGTTCATTTTCTCCTGTTCAGTATCTTCTGTTCCTTACCTCTCCCCTTGCCACATTCCCTTCTTACACTCTGTCCTCTTTTTCTTCTTGTTTGCTTATGCTTTAACATTTGCTGCAACAAATGGAAGTTGAAAAGTTGTTCAGCCATGTTGATGGTATTCAAGGCTGAATATTCCATTTTATATAATCATTGTCATAATAGCTGAATTTATCAAGAGCTTAAGGGCTTACAGTATGCTTCGAGGCACAAGCATTATCTCTTTTAATACTCACTGCAACCCTTTAAGGAAGAGAAAACTGAGGCAATTACCTTACCACTGTCATCTAATTGGTAAATGGCAGAGCTGGTTTTCAGAGACAGGTCCAAGCCTTACTAATATTCCATATTGTTTTCTTGAGCTAGATGAAAGACTTAATTCAAACTTCGTTATGCTTCAACAGGCACTAAAGCCAATAGGCATGTAAAAGAAGCAGCATGGCATGGTGCAAAGAAACCCAGTCAGTCTTTTGTCAGAGCTAGCTTCTTAACCATTATGAATCTTAACTCATCTGTGAGGTGAAATGCCACCCTTTATTACCCTCTGAAAATTAGTGTGGGGACTTTGAAGGAAAGAGCTAATGAGAAACTGTGAGAGCAGGAGCACAGAGGAAGGCCAACTGGCTGCATCATGGACTGCATGAACATCACCAGGTCACCAGTTTCTTTGTACCCAATCTCTTTGTCTACATATTCATTGATAGCAGTAGTATGACTTTTTAGGGACCAGAATATTTGTGTCTAGCTAGGCACAGAATTAGTCTCAATGAGCAAGCTAAAGCTTAATGGGTACCAAGAGCCACCACAGGGTCCATGTGTATTTTTCACATGTCAAGCCCCTCCTGCAGTGTAGGCTCAAGAGGGAACAGCAGATGCATACACACACATATTGAGCACCAGTACTTCTTTATTGGTTCCTTTGTTGCCCCATTGCAGAGAGCACTGTCAAAAGTCAGCCTCTTTGGAGATTGCCTCACCCTTCCAGCATCTTATCTGTTCCCGAGGCAGTTCATTTCCAAGGACCAGAAATGGTCACTGCAGGACCATTTATACTTTATATTAAGTATAAAGGCCTAGAATTTCAATCCAATTTGGGGCAGCCCTGAAGAACTATTCTAGCTCCAGAGCTTTCGACAGGGTTTGCGGAAGATATTGTTGGGCTGCAGCATAGCTCACTTTTGGTTTTGTTTTGTTTTTTTGTAGTGCTGGGGATTGAACCCAGGGCCTTGTGAATGCAAGGCAAGCACTCTACCAACTGAGCTATATCCCCAGCCCTGTAGCTCGCTTTTTGCCATCTGCACATACCTGCTTCTTTCTACAGGTATTGTTCCTAGGAACCCACCTTGACATTTATCCAACTCAGAATTCACTTCCCAAAGAACCCATGCTGTATAATAAGTTTATTTTACTCCAACAACACCCCATGTACTGCTTTAGGACAAATAAGATGATACATTTGAAAACACCTGTGATGAGTAAACCCAGACAGTATAATGTAGTGAATATCACCAGCTCTGATTAGTTCAGTAGCAGAGTCCACAGTCAAATTACTTAATGATTCCCAATCTCTTTTCTCATCCTTAAAATAAGTATAATAATACCAAGTTCATAGGGTTGCTTTGAGGCTTGGATGAGATAATACCTGTTACGAATTTAGTGTGGTGCCTGGTACATGCTTCATGTTGATTAAGATACAATCTCTGTAATGTATATCTACTATACTAGTATCATTTTTAAAAAATATTTTTAGTTGTAGATGGATACAATACCTTTATTTTGCTTATTTAGTTTTATGTGGTGCTGGGGATCGAACCCTGGGCCTCACTCATGCTAGGCAAGTGCTCTATCACTGAGCTACAACCCCAGCCCTAGTATCATATTTTAATAACTTTGGATTAATTATTTTATATATCAGTTTTACTTTCCATGTAATACAGTTTATGTTTTTCATGTGAAATGTATACTTTTTAACATTGTAGTTGAAAATTGTTTGAGCTCTGCAAAGGAAAATATGAATTCTAAGACTGCATTGTCTTTGTCATTTTACCAGTATAATTGTCAGTAAAATCTTAACCCTGACCCCATTATCTATGGCTGTTCTTCAGTATCAGCCTATTCAGTTGCTTTCTCTATAGCAGCAAAATCCATTCTCGCCAGAGTAACATGATCCTTACTGTTTCTTGAATACTGAAAAGTAGTAGTCAATACATATTCAATACATAGTGTTTATTTTCCGGAAGACTTCAGTACCTTTTGAAAACAGGTATTTCCAATACAGCCAAAAGATCTTTGGATGATTCAGAGAGAGTAACCAGTATGTGATGTTTCCTTTCCTGAAGACTCTGGGAATAACCAGAAGTTCCCTAGTACTTTGAAACTGTTAACCAAAACAGCATTGGGAATAACCAGCACATTATGTCAGGAAAATTTTTTTGTCAATGATATTGTTGTACTTTATAACATTAATTGTGTTTCATTTTTATAATGAAATATCCTATATTCTAAATATTCTAACCTTAATTAAATGTAACTAAATATTTCATTTATGACTAATGTGTTTCTCCAAATGACTATAAGATTTGTTGTTTTTTCACTCATTTACATAGGCAGGACCAGATGCTGTGTTGGGGAGGACAATCTGGGGAGTTTTAGGTTTAGGTGCCTTTGGGTTTCAGCTGAAAGAAGTCCCTGCCGGGAAACACATTATCACAACTACCCGATCCCATAGCAACAAGTTGGTTACAGACTGTGTTTCTGCTATGAACCCTGATGATGTGCTGCGAGTAGGAGGAGCAGGAAATAAGGTATGAAAAAGATCTGTCATCTGCTCTGGAATTCAACTGAATCATTGATGGAAATACTGAATTCTTTTAACATGTGAAAAAGAGTTTAAAGAGAAGGGATTAAAGATTATAATTTGCCACTAAAAGCACATTCAGCAACATTTACATTTTTAAAGATTTTAGGTTCAAGTCTTTTTCATCTCAGAGTCCAGGATTATTAAGTGATATATAGGAACCCATGCCTCTTACCAAGGACCCTCCTAGATGATTTCCTAGACCTTTCTTCTGCTGACCCTAGGGACATTCTTGTCTGTACCCTTCCTGTCTACTTCCCCCATTCTTTCACTCTAGGCTTCCAACCTTCTGAGAGAATTGTGAAATGGGACACAGTTTGACCTACATTGTTAGCCCTGATCTCTTCTCATCTGATTATCCCTGGATATCATCATGACATCCCTCAGGTATCTCGAATTCAACATGTCCAGTTTCACCTTATTCTCTTTTTAACCGCACCCAGATATGCTCTTCTTATTTGCAGTCTGGTTAATGCCACCATCATTTTCCTGATTGCTTTACCCAGATGCTGGGAAAGTCATCCCAGATTTCTTCCTTCTATACTATCAGTCTAGTCCTACCCATACAGTTCTTCCCTATTGTCTTGTCTTGTCCTCTCGGCTGCCAGCACTGTAGTTGAAATCTCTTGTCATCACAAGAGCTGCTATAATAGCTCCCTGAGTGATCTCTGTTCAATCTATTCTTTATAAATGCTACTGGAGCAATTTAAAAATGCAAAACTTCTCCCTGTCCCAAATGCTTAGATGGCTCCCCATCACAACAGTTAAGATCTAAACTTAATAACAGAGTGAAAGCCTGCTATTTCCTGGCTCCTGTACATCCCGAGCCTCGTCTCGTGTCATCCTGCAATTCATACGTCAGCTCTAATGATACTGAACTACATTACTTAAGCGATAGTGTGTGCATTTCACACATGTGTACATAACATAGGAAAGGCAAATAATATTTATTGAACTGAATGGAATTCATTTTTTTTGCCTGTGCTTTAGAAGCAATGCTCAAAGTGAAAATATATTCCCCATATTCACTGAATAAATAACGACAATTATGTTTCCCCTTTGCCCCTAACTTTTGTAATCACCAAAGCCCATCATCTCTTTTATTCCCAAGGAGCACCTTTCTTCTAAGAAGCATCAATTTCTCATCCTGCACATCTCTACCTTTCTCCTGTGGGGGGAGGGGGAATCTTGTTGGGCAGTTCTCAACTTTTTTACATTAAGAGAATTTAAGGAAAGCTACAGCCCTCTCCTATCAAAAAACAAACTGGTATATATAATGTTAGACTTAATCTATAATGTTAGTCTTGCAACATTTGTTGAATGAAAGAAAACCTTTTACTCAAAAGCCTGCAACTAGTTGAAATGTGTGAAGGTATTCATAAACAGTTCTGAAAGACATTTGGTACTCTTGTGTCCACTGAGATTTTCCTCATTCTGGTCCTCAGTCTGGTCCTTTATCTGAATATTTGAAGTCTGAGGTTTTTAGTAATAATTATTTTACAGAATAACCAAAAAAGTCAATTAACTTGATAGCAAATTGCCGTTTAGAGTTGTGAAAGTTATCAGCAACCTCAGTTTTATATGTGCATTTTAGGAAATATTGGAATAACTACATATAAGTTTGTGTTTTGGTAATGGAAATAGCAACATATTTGATCCTGAAGACCTGTGAAAGTACTTGTTAGACTAATAAACACTGCACATCTGTTAGACCTTACTACAATTTTTGCATTATGGTACTGCTTGATATTTCTTTATCCTTTACTTAATCATGGTCAATTTTTAGACGTTTTTAAAAATTTTATATTTTTAATGATATATATTGCTTTTCTAGTAAGAAAGAAAAAACAGGAATATAAAGAAAAGTTTATTTTCTCTAACTTGAAATATGGAGATTGTTCAGATGGTCTGTCTGTAGCTTTTATGATTGGTTTTCTCCCTTCAGATTGTCATATATTATCATATATCTATGATAATATTATCATGCTTCCTCATAATACTTGTGTCATTTAAGCGTGCTAAAGACTTTAACCTCAGTCCAACAAGGGAATTGATGAAGTATCCTTGATAGAAGAAAGAAGTCTTTCTTATTTGTACCTCAGTCATTTCATGCTTGAGGGATAATTGTTATTTTTAACCTCACAGATCATTCAGCTGATCGAAGGCAAAGCTTCTGCTTATGTATTTGCAAGCCCTGGATGTAAGAAATGGGACACTTGTGCTCCCGAAGTTATCTTACATGCTGTGGGAGGTTAGTCTGTTTTATTTTGGAGAATTCTAGTTTTTATATTATGCTGAAACATGATATTTTAATAATATTACTTTACCTAGACTCTTAGGATATAAGAGTTAGAGGGAAACTTAGAGATTATCCAGTCCAAAACCTAATTTGTAGATGAGTAAGTAGATGTTCAGCAAATTTATTATTCTGGAATTTATTGTCTCTTTTGCAGACTTGGAGCTTCATACAGTTAATTTAACCCAAATCTTGTGGTTTTAATGCTTTCTTCCCTTGAAAAATAATGTGTTCGTCATTACTGACATGACCTCACTTAGTTTATCTTAAGCTATAAATGGTGAATATCTCAGTACCAGTTCTAAATATCACAGAATTTTTAAAAATCTTACTGAAAATATATTACAAATATATACACAGTAAGATGATTTTTTTCAATTTCAAATAAACATCAGAAGTAAGCAGTGCATTTGAAAATTCCTGTCAGGAACAAAGTATGTTAGTGTACTCCTATAATCCCTGTACTCGGGAGACTAAGGCAGGAGGGTCTCCAGCTCAAGGCCAGCTTGGGCAATATAGTGAGACCCTGCCTTTGAATAAATAAACAAATAAAAATAAGTCCTTGCCTGAGACTGGAGCTGTAGCTAATAGTAGAACATGTGCTTAGCATGTGTGAGGACCTGGGTTCCATCCCCAGCACCACAAACAAACAAAAACCCTGTCAGATTTTTTTTTAAATGACAATAAGCAAAGATTTTATTCTTTCATTTCTCCTAATATATTACTTTATCCATACAGTATTAACATGTGATGAAGTTAAATTGAACTTTGTCAAAAAAATAAATACATGAATGAATGAATGAATAAATAAATAAATAGTACTTTGTTTTGGTCCATACATTTAGAATGCAAAATGAAACTTTTCATAAAATACAATTGTATTATATTAATCCTTCACCTAAACTTTCATCAGATAAAGCATAAATAATAAATAGTAGGATGAAAACATTTTCACAAATGTGAATGGTGGTAATGGAGTATAACAATAGGAAAAATAATCACTTGAGAAGAGAAATTAATCAAGAAATAGAATTTTGGCCAGGCATGGTGGCACACACCTATAATCCCAGTAGCTTGGGAGGCTGAGGCAAGAGAATCTCAAGTTCAAAGCTAGCCTCAGTGATTTAGCAAGACCCTGAGCAATTTAGCTTGATCCTGTCTCAAAAAATAAAAAGGGCTGGGATGTGGATTAGTGGCTAAATGCCCCTGGGTTCAATCCTTAGTACCAAATATAAATACTTACACACCCATTATTTATATATATATATATATATATATATATATATATATATATATATATATATATATATAAATATAACTTGGGGGAGGAGGTATAGCTTAGTGGTAGAGTTCATACTTAGCATGTGTGAACACCTAGGTTCAATCCCCAACTCCAGAAAAAAAATAAAGCGAAAAAAGAAATACAAGTTGAAAATACTAAATGAAATTTTGATCTTAAAGAAAAATATTTTTAATCTTTTTAGTTAAAATGCTCTATGGTCACAAATTAAATTAAAAACTTTACCTTTGGTCTAGGGTTGTAGCCCAGTGGTACAGCATTTGCCATGCACATGGGAGGCTCTGGGTTCGATCCTTAGCACCACATAAAAATAAATAAATAAAATAAAATAAATGGGGAGGGGGGAGGGTGGAGGATGGGAAAGGCAGCGGAGCACAACAGACACTAGTATGGCAATATGTAAATCAATGGATGTGTAACTGATGTGATTCTGCAATCTGTGTATGGGGTGAAGGTGGGAGTTCATAACCCACTTGAATCAAAGTGTGGAATATGATATGTCAAGAAATTTGTAATGTTTTGAACAACCCACAATAAAAAATTAAAAATAAAATAAAATAAAGGTATTATGTACATCCACAACTAAAAAAAAATAAAAATGTTTAAAGAAAAGGAAAAAATTTCACATTTGCTCTGTGTGGTGGCGCATGCCTGTAGTCCCAGCAGCTCAAGAAGCTGAGGCAGGAGAATGGCAAATTCAAGGCCAGCATGTGCTACTTAGCCTGTCTCAAAATAAAAATTTTAAAAAGGGCTGGGGAGGTAGTTCAGTGGTAAGGTGCTTACCTGGCACACCTGGAGTTCTGTCTTCAGTATTTCAAGGGAAAAATAAATAAACTAGAGGGACTTGGGAATGTAGCTCAGTGGTAGAGTATATATCTAGCATATGCCAGGCCCTGAGTTCAATGCTTAACGCTTCCCCCCCCAAAAAAAAAATTCTGTAAGTATCATGATCCAATCATCTGTTAACATTATATTGCTGTTTTTTCTGTAGGCAAGTTAACCGATATCCATGGAAATGCCCTTCAGTACAATAAGGAAGTGAAGCATATGAACTCTGCAGGGGTCCTGGCCACACTGAGGAATTATGACTACTATGCGAGCCGAGTTCCAGAATCTGTTAAAAATGCACTTGTTCCTTAAAGAAAATTTTCATTTTTTTAGCCCAAAGGACTTGTTTCTCAAAACAGTACATTTCAAAAACTGATTGAATGGAATTAGTATTCTACCTTTATTAATCATTGATCAGTGATTTATAGTAGTTACTTAAAGATAGAAAATGGGGTTAAAGAATTTCGTTTTATTGGAGTCTAATACTACTTTGCCTTAGGTATGTAATAAATTTTGTGTGTCCTTTTTCCTGTTTAACAAAATCAGGGAGTCAGGCACAGTGATGCATAACCTGTAGTCCCACCTACTTGGGGAATCTGAGGCCAGAGGATCAAATTGCATGAATGAAGGAATTTGAGGACAGCCTGGGCTACAAAGCATAATCCTGTCTCCAAAAAAATAAAAATAAAAAAGAAGAAAGGAATTTAGCTTGATTAGTTAACTGGACCAATTTTTACATCTGGAGAATGTATAAACTCAATATATTTCTTTTTATGTGGAGATATGAAAAAAAAAAAAAAGGTTTAGTCCTGACTGACTAAGCCATTTGTGTAATCAACATTCCTATCTTGTAAACCAGATTTCTTTAGGGCACAGAACCTTAATTGTTCAAAGATTTCTCTCTTATTTTTCATGGTAGTTTTGAAGGTGTTCCTACTTCAATTGTGAATACATATAATGTTATTATATACATTGATGAAACATTTCTGGGAAAAGTTTCTTTAAAATAAATTATTTAATCCTAGTTCTTTATTTTATATTTGCCAGTTTTTTAAGTATCTTAAAATTATAAATGCTATGTGTATTTACTCATTCTTATGGCATCATTTTAATGCTTAACTGTGAACAGTTGGATAGTTGCCTTGGTTCCTTTCAATGGGAGATTATAAGATATACTATCATGGGGCTGGGGTTGTGGCTCAGAGCTCACCGTTGAGCACTCTCTCATAAACTTTTTTCTCTTTGTCCTTATTTTTCCTCCTTCTAGCTGCTCATTCTCCTTTCTTCTCTTTCTCTTCCTTCTCTTAAATGTCACTATTCACCAAGATTGTGTTCTAGACTACTTTCTCATCAGATGATCCATTCTATCCATGTGGTTTCATGTAAGGCCTTTTGCTCAGAATATCCAAAATCTAAACCTTAGAACTCTCAAACTCTGTATATCCAAAGCCTACTTTGATGCCTCCAGCTATCTCTAAAAAACTATGGTGTCTCTACAGCTCTTCATTCTTCCCAACCCCTCCTTAATTTATTTTACAAGCCCACAAGATGATCCTGATAATTGGCAAAACTTGAAAATCACTGCCTTGGTCCATTTACTTCATCCAGAAATGGAGTTCTCTGTGAACAGTGGACTAAACCTAAATTTTAAAAAAATCTAAATGCAACATAAGAATAACTTAAAGGTATTTCCACAGGCTCCTATATGAAAACACAACTATTACCAAGTGAGATATTTGGGAGTCTACATTCTGTCTTCATTTCTGTTGCCTCTACATTTGTTTATACACTCATGCCCCATGATTACTTCCTTAGATCACTGTGATGTCCTCCATACAAATCTCTACCTGGGCTTTAATGACTCTACAACCATCCATTACATTGTCTCCAGAGTGAACTTTTAAAAATGAAATCTAGTAATACCATCTGTTACTTAAGATCTTTATGGCTTGCTTTTGTTTTCAGGATAAAAAATAAGTTCCCAATAATGGTATACAAAGTGCTTAATGGTGTGACTTCTTCCTTCTCCAGTATCAACTCTGATCACTATACTGCAGCCATGTGCAATCATTTGAACTCCCTCAGAACATCACGCTTACTCTCCCCTTGGCCTCCATCCATTCATTCAACAGTACTGAGTACTTGCTATATGTTATTCACTGAACATTGAACAGTGACTACTGATCTTGTTTAGATGAGTTGATGTTCTAATGAAGCAAGGAAGACGATAAATAAGTAAATGAAATTATTTTAGATTGTGGAATTTGGTTAGAAAAATAGGAAGATCACTCTGGTGGGAGGGCTGGAAGAGGATCTCCTTTAGATAAAATAGGACTATTCGTGGAGATGATATTTGAGTTAATAACAGGATGAAAAGAAGTTCACCATGTTAAGAGCTAAGGTTTCTAGTGGGAATGGCAAGCACATCTCTGACAAAAGAAAGAAAAGAATGGAAAGGAAACCACAGTGGCCAAAGTAACAGGAATGGGGGAAAGACTGATAAATGAAGTTGAGGTAAGCTAAATAAAACTTTTCTTTATAAAATTACAAAAATAAAATGAGGTTGAGGAGGCAGATAGGGGCCAATGATCTATAGTCTTATTTTAAGTGTTGGGCTGGAGGTGTAGCTCAGTGATACAGTGCTTGCTTAGCATGTGCAAGGAAGGACCTCCATTTTATTCTCAGCATACAAACATAAAAGGGGGATATTATTTGAACCTCGGTAGAAGCTAAAAATCCCAAACCCATTTCTTGATTTGTTTAAAAACTCCTGTTACCTTTAGAGGCAATTTTCCTTAACTAGATAATGATTAAGAATCCAGCAACAACTAATTTTTTTTATCTTTTTTAGTTTGAGTTCCTTAATTGGCTTTGTTGTCAACTTTACATCAGGTAACATCTCATTCCATAAAAGACAACAAGTGTTCCCATAGGCTAAGCAAAAAGAGGTTAGTTTTATAGACATAGAGAAGACACATAGACACATAAAAAATCTACCATGCTAGACAGAAGAAAACAAAAACAAACAAAAAAAAATGGGTTGGTAACTTAAAAGTTACTTTATTGGTAAGGTAGAATAGGGAAACAAAATAATTAACATCAGGTTATTTCAGGTTACTTTTTTCTTACAAGAACTAAAGCAGAGGGAACTTCAGTATCATACCAATTACAACTGGCCTGTTTGGGAAATTTGGCTGTTATCTAATTATGATTTCTCAGAAGATCAGATAAAAAGCTTAAGTTTCACCTTGGTGACATAGAACTTCAGCATGAGTTACTCCATTCTAAATTTTAGTCTTATATCTTGAAGACTAGTGAGAGTGTGACCAAAACTTAGGGCATCGATGCTATTCTCAGTTACCATTTCTTTAAGTTTTTTTGTCATTCTTTGCAAAAGAGATCACTTGATCTCCAACAGATAGCTGTATACAAAATTTAAAACTTTCTTTGAGGATATAGCATGTTGAAAGTCTAATATTATGACTACAAAGAGTATTAATTATACCAAAAGTTTAGAATATGCCTCTGGCTAAGGAGCCAGGGTCTGCCCCCAACCCCCCTGAACCAAACCAGCTAAAATCAAGTAAATCAAAGAGCTGGATGAAGAGTCTACCCCCCCCCCCCCGCTTTTTTTTTTTTGGTACCAGGGATTGAGCTCAGGGGCACTCGACCACTGAGCCACATCCTCAGCCCTATTTTGTATTTTATTTAGAGACAGGGTCTCACTGAGTTGCTAAGCATCTCGCCATTGCTGAGGCTGGCTTTGAACTCATAATCCTCCTGTCTCAGTCTCCCGAGCCTCTGGGATTACAGGTGTGCACGACCGAACCCGCCAAGAGTCTACCCATTTTAACAGAGTAGTCTGTTCATTAATTTTTGCAACTGGTTTTGTACAATCCCCATGTATTTATATGCAAAAAGAAGTGTCAGCAATAGCACAGAATCTTTCATTTAGATAACAGGTAGTAATTCTGACATATACCACCCTAGTGCAGAAGCTCAGTCCAAAACAATGGTGTTATGGTTTGGGTGTGAGGTGCCCCCAAAGGCTCACATGTGAGACAATGCAAGAAGGTTCAGAGGAGAAATGATTGGGTTGTAAGAGTCTTAACCCAATCAGTGAATTAATCCCCCATAGGGATTAACTGAACAGTAACTGAAGTGGTAGGGTGTAGCTGAAGAATGGAGCCAGCCTTTTATAGACTGAGACTTCTGAAACCATGAGCCCTCAAACAAATTTCCTCCCCTACAGTGGTACGGGTCAGGTCTTTTAGTCACAGCAACGAAAAAGCTGACTACAACAAATGGCTTCCTATAGATTTTGTTTAATAGTTTATTCCCCTTGTTATAAGTGGGAGGGCCTTGTGGCTCACTGATAAGGAGTGGAGCTGGTAAGTGTAACTGTGTGACTTTCAATGCTAGGTGAAGAGAACCCTTGAAGTTTCCATTCTCAGAGAAGCTAGCGGCACATAAGAAGTCTACCATGCTAAAGAGAACATAACGACAGCCCCCACCAAAAAAATAAGAAAAGGAAGAGGGACCTATCTGAGCCTAGGCTTCCATTTTTCCCTTTTGCACCTTAAACCACTTTAGCCTTCAATTAAATAGCACCAAGTGACCCTTTATCATGCTACATCGAGCATCTGTTGGTTACTTAGCAGAGGATAACCAAAATTCCTAACCCACAAAAATATGAGATACAATAACATGGTTATTACTTTAAGTTACTAAATTTGGGAGGTTTGTCAAGAGCAATAGGTAAATGACTTGATTTGAATTTCTATTTTCCAATTGAAAACAAATTACCTATTGAAGAGACCAATAATGATAATATATTAATTATAAAGAAACAATTTCTTTTTTGTGGTTCTAGGGTTGAGCCCAAGGCCTTGCGCATGGTAGGCAAGTGTTCTACTGTTCAGCTATACCCCCAGCCTTTAATAAGATTTTTGATGCTTTAATTAGAAATTGGTTCCTAGAGGGCTAGAAATATAGCTCAATGGTAGAGCACTTGCTTTGCATACATGTGGCCCTGGGTTTGATCCCCAGCACCATAAAAACAGTCATACTAGACAAATTAAATTGTTCCTTCTTTAGTTCTGACAGATCCATATATGCACTATATGTACATTTAGCTCATCTCTTTGAGTTTTTAAGTCCTCACATACTTGTTATTGAGTAAGCATAATATATATTGCTTTCATTCATTCCAACATTTATTGAGACCCTCCTCTGTTAAGTACAGAGCATAATGTTGGAGACCCAAAAATGAATAATACATAGTTCTTGGCAATGATGTGCTCACAGTCTAGTGACATAATGGTCTGGGTTGAATTGGAGATATGCAGATGAAATATTCTCCAAAGCACAATCTTTGCATGCTTTACTGAGAAATAAATACATTTTGTTGTTTTGCTCTACTGACAAAACATCAGATCTTTGCATAGTTGGCTTCTTCTCAATGGACTGGTCTCGTCCCAAATTTTACTAAAAGAAGTTTTGTCCGGGATTGGGGTATAGCTTAGTGGTAGAGTGCTTGTCTAGCATGTGCAAGGCCCTGTAAAAAAGATCTTCTCCAACTACTGAAGTTCTCCTTCTCTGATTTCCTTTCTATCCCAAATATCACTTTCTAAAGTAAAACTGTTTATTTGCTACCTCACTCCCACCATCATGTAAACTTCATAAAATTAGGAATTTTTGTTAACCACATATTTCTAATACTAAGAACACTGCTGGGCACATAGGATATACTTTCAAAATATTGTTAAATGAACAATGTATTACAATTACTCTAATATGTTGTTGAAACCTTTTTAGGTGCCCTTTCTGAAACACACTGGGAGAAATTCTGTTTCTATAGTAGGAAAATTCTGATTTTTCCCATCATGTCATGGATAGTTTTCCTCTTATCTTCAAGTCGAGTTTTGTGGCTTATTCCAAGAAGGTAAACAGGGTTCATACCCTCTCTTCAGTGCTCTAGCTCCTCTCTTTGTGTCACCTTCCTTTTGTATTTTCTTTCTTCAA